TTCGTAGAATCGTTATCTTTTATAAATCATTTATCTATTCCTCGGCGAGCATTTAATGACTCATCGCGCGATTACATTGAACTGCATATTTTTTGCGACGCCTCACAACAGGCATACGGTGCATGCGCATATATACGTACTTATACATCAGATGGCAGTATCAGTGTTCAACTGTTAGTTGCCAAGGGACGGGTGGCTCCTTTAAAAGCACTTACCATACCGCGACTTGAATTATGTGCCGCGTTTACCGGTGTTAATTTAAGTAATAAGATATTGAACTCCGTTCGCAACAAAAATTGTAAGTGTTATTATTGGAGTGACTCAATGATTGTTTTGTCTTGGATAAACTCACCTACACATAAATTACAAACATTCGTAAAACACAAAGTCACGGACATTCTCAAACATACTGAACCACAGACATGGTACTATGTACCAACTAAACAAAACCCAGCTGACATTATTACTAAATGTACCAATGCACAACAATTACTCCATACACCTTTATGGTTTTCAGGACCTGACTTTTTAAGGAATGATGATAAACACAGCTGGCCTCATCAACCAGGGCATCTCAGCGTATCTGACCTTCCAGAAGTCCGGTCTCAAACACATCTCACGCACAAACATGTAACTGATAACAATTCATTCATTTACAAATATTCTAATTTTAACAAACTTACACGAATCGTAGCTTACATTCTTCGGTTCATTCATTACTGCAAACACAAACAATCAAAATTAAATCAAATCAACATTAAAAAACGTCAACAGATGCGCATAGGTGACGTCATGCCCTTATCTACTAGCGAACTTAATTCAGCTAGATACCAATTAGCGAAGTTAGTGCAACTAGATTTATTTTTTGAGGAATATCAATTATTATTACATAACAAACAATTACCTACATCACATAAGTTAAATTCACTTAATCCTTTCATAGGGGATGATAACCTCATTCGTGTGGGCGGAAGGTTAGCTCAATCGCCATACAATTACGATAGAAAATTTCCTATCCTATTGCATTCAGCTCATTACATAACTCAAATCATATTCTCAACATATCACATTACACTTCTACATGCTGGCCCACAATTGTTATTGTCTCACATACGTCAAACATTCTGGCCAATTTCCGGTAGAAACTTGGCTAGAAAAACTACACAATCATGTGTTACATGCAAACGGTTTAAAGGTAAAACTGTAACACCTATCATGGGGCAATTACCTGAACAGAGATTGCATGCAAATTTTGTATTCAGTGACGTAGGTGTCGACTACGCGGGGCCAATTATGATCAACAACCGTAAGGGGCGTGGAAGTGTACTTGTTAAATCATACATCTGCATTTTCATCTGTTTTGCCGTGAAAGCTGTGCATTTGGAATTGGTTACAGATCTAACGACAGAGTCTTACATAGCGGCAATTAACAGGTTTATTTCTCGCAGAGGTAAACCAAATAATATTTATTCAGACAATGGAAAAAATCTGGTAGGTGCCGCTCGTATGGTGACCAACTTTCTTAGAAATCACGGTGAGTCAATTTACAGTTGCGCTGCAGAACAAGGTGTAAACTTTCATTTCATTCCTCCATATTCACCCCACTTCGGGGGCCTATGGGAAAGCACCGTTAAATCAGTAAAACATCATCTCAAAAGAGTACTAGGGATGGCACACCTCACATATGAAGAAATGTACACGTTGCTAGTTCAAATAGAAGGCATCCTCAACTCAAGGCCTCTCACACCTCTTTCATCCGATCCAAATGATCTCTCCGCTCTCACTCCCTTTCATTTTCTAATTGGTCGTACTCTAACTGTTCTACCTCATCCACAGATGTCCGACTGCGACACGGCACGGCTGCCGCGTCATCACCGAATCGAACTTCTACGCCAACATTTTTGGAGACGCTTTAATAAGGAATACATTTCTCAGTTGCATCAACGAACGCGCTGGCAACGCTCACGCGGCGCGCTCACAGAGGGCTCATTGGTCATCGTGAAAGATGAGGCGCTACCGGTGGCTCAGTGGCCATTGGGACGTATCGTGAAGCTGTATCCGGGACATGACGGAGAAGCTCGAGTGGCGGACATCAAAGTAAAGACCGGGACAATCAGACGTGCCTTTCATAAAATATGCCCATTACTGGATGTACCATCGGACTGATAATATCATACATCATCATCACCTGGGCTGGCCTTTCCTTGGTCGCCCGGGAATATGTTAACGCACACGTTAACACGCACGCACATGCAGACACACATGCATGCATCTCAAGCAGAGGGGAGCGGGCGGCGTGGCGGGGCAGCGACGGCTCGCGCGCCCTCCATACACACCTGACGACAACGCGAGCAAGAACGGACGGGATTGCGAATTTAACTTGTACTAATAGCCTACTCAAGAAAACCTATTAAACCAAGAAATACAGTCCACTCTTTTATTCCATCTGGGCCTATCTAGTTGGTAAAATATCAGTTTTGATAGTAACTAATCTGACCCAAATAAAATAAACCCAAATGACTGGTTCGTTTGTTTTAACCTCAGCACGCGAGAAGATAATTAATTCGCTGCAAAGGTTACTTAAACAAACACAATCCTGTGTCCTTCACCTGTAGCACTGAAATTATAATCTAGATTTACAGATAGGTAGAAAATAGAACCGTTTGATGTAAGACTTAGTTTTCACAAAAAAATATTATTTTGTAAACTACATTTAAAACAGCCGAATTCAACACTCTCTTTATTTGAAGTCAGTTAATGGATATACTAAAACTTTCTCCTAAGAGTCACAAAACTTTTCTGAATACCGCATCAAAATCGGTTCAGCCAATCGCGAGATAATCGCGCACGAACATCTACAGACATACAAACAAATATACATACATACAGCTTAAACTAGGAACATGCTTTTTTTGAAGTCGGTTAAAAAATTGGTACTACTTCACTTTCTCAATCAGAATTCTTAATAATAATAATTCGACTAAAGCAAAAAGGGCAATCGAGTTTCTTACATGGATATAAAATAACTGGGAGGCACTGATTCAAGAAGCAATTACTTCGGGAATCGTACACTTCATTACACTTCACTAATTTATGACGATGCTAAAGTAAGTAGAAGAATTTATTCTGGAATCTTTTTTAGAAGTCGCTGATAGTCTATCGCTGATAGTCATAATTAGAATGCTGATTGCAGTAGGTTGAAAGTGAGATATTATAAGACAAACAGGTGCAAGCAAAAATCTAATTAGCAAACTAAATTCTACGTACAGAAAGTACTGCATAAAAAAATCGAATTTACTACGAAAGCCTACAAGTGCTTATAATTAATACCTGTCTATTTTACGGGACTAGAGGAGAATCAGCTTACGGATCATCTGATGATGAATGAACAGCGTCACCTATAGACACCACCCGTAACCTATGTTTTGGCCGCCGCACCGGTGAACTCAGATGGCGAAACACAACGCAAGCGTTATTTCACTACGACTTAACGGGTTGCCGGGGCTCCGGCTTGCAGTGCAGGAGTAGGAACGGGGTGGTTTTTAGTCAGTAAGAGTCTTACACTCCCTCTCGCCTCACGCGGGCGGGAGAAGTCATTCGATGTTCTTTTTTGAGCAAAAAACCGTTATTTCAAGCTCGTATTCAAAACAAGACTTTTCCATGTCAAATCCCTTCTCAATATCTCCTACTAGGTATTTATCATAACATAACATCACGCCTTTTATCCCAGAATAGGAAGCAGAGCTGCACAATACATTATGGCACTTAATGCTACTGTACATTGTAACACTCATTTTTCACTATGTATGTTATGAGTCCCATGTAATAGGAGGTGAGCCTATTGCTATATACCGGACACAATCCCAGACGCCGTGTTACTACCAAATTAAAAAAAAACCTAGTAGTACTTCGCCCGACCCGTCGATCGAACCCGAGACCCCTTGCCCGGCAGTCGCACTTGCGACCACTCGGCCAATGAGGCAGTCAGTAGGCAGTATTTATCATCTATATTAATTATTTAGATCTTCATCGATGATTCATTACACATGTAATTTATCTGAGTACCTATGCGAGTGATAAATACATAATAATATATCAAGGATTCATTAATAATGCCGTCTCTTAGACTTCGAGGAATTTCATATCACTTTGATCCTATAATGAAATTAAAACATTCATTAGTTCGATCCCAAGTAATATGATTTAAATGCTTTATTAATATACTAGCGACCCGCCCCGGCTTCGCACGGGTGCAATGCAAAATATACCTACTACAGAATGTCCTTATACACAACGTTCACAGCTTTTTTGTCATTAGCCAATACAAACATGCTTTGCTTAGACGTTACTCTTGACAGCGCGACATATAATTGGCCATGTGAAAAACACTCAACACTCAAGTCTAATCCTGCAACGTTAAAAGTTTGACCCTGCGATTTATTAATGGTCATTGCAAAAGATATCTTTACCGGAAATTGTAGGCGTTTAAATTAGAACGGTAAATCTGATGGTATCAGAGGAATTTGGGGCTTCCAAGAAATATGGTTTTAAGGTAATCCTATCTAACCTAATGTACTTTCAATACTATTAATATAATAATAATAATAAAAATTAAAAGATAATCAACAACAAACGATACTTATTCTATTCAGTTTAATTAATTCTTGATATTCTCCTCGCTAGAGAGCTCCGATAAACGCGTGGGATCGCTGCAAATCATAAAGTACTATAAGGCGAAGCGCGGCCATCGAAGCGCTATTTATAGGCACGCGCCGCCCGGCGCAAACAACTACGACCCTGCATTTTAAATTTGTAATATCTTCGGTAATATTCACTTAAATTACATGCTTTAAAAAGCATATTGATCTATAATAAATGCACAATTTATTTAAGGTACTTAATTGGATAAGGATTAATGCTGTATTGTTTAAAATCACTTCGTAAATAACCATTTTTTAGTAAAGAATAAAAATGGTTATGCTGGGTTATCCCTAAGAGATAGACATATACCATCGCGGACTTTTTTGTTGAACTTTTTAAGGTGAACAATACTGTAGTATATTATTTTGGTCTATCTCGTAGGGTTCAGCCAGCGTTTGCAATATAAGCGCAAAAAAACGTGCTTATTTACGACATCACATTAGAAACCTTTAAATTTATCAGTGTTTCTCTACTATATTATGCATTTATTATACATACAAACCTTCCTTAAGAATCACTCTATCTATTAAAAAAAACCGCATCAAAATCCGTTGCGTAGTTTTAAAGATCTAAGCATACATACGGACATACAGCGAAAGCGACTTTGTTTTATACTATGTATTGATTTTTCATACCTTTTTACTATTTACATACTTACATTTTCCCGTTGAATTTTCAGTACTGAATTGATGCCGACTCTATACCAATAGATGGCGCTGTATGTACGCAATATTTTTTTTTTTATTTTTTTTTGTAATAAAAACTACCCTATGTCCTTTCTCAAGTTCCAAACTATGTCTGTACCAAATTTCACACAAATCGGTTCAGTAGTTTAGGCGTGAAGCAAAGACAGACAGACAGACAGACAGACAGACAGAGTTACTTTCGCATTTATAATATTAGTTTGGATCTGATCAAATGAGTTTGGTATTACTCAGATGTGGGAATCTGTGTGACCTTCGCATGGTTGATTAATCTATATTAATATTGTTAGTAAACATTTTAACTTGGTGTGTGTGGGAGAGCCACGCTTCGGCACGAATGGGCCGGCTCGACCGGAGTGATACCACGGCCGAGCAGAAAACCGACGTGAATCAACGCTTGCGTTGTGTTTCGTGGTGTAAGTGAGGTTACCGGAGGCCCAGCTACCCTCCCCCTTCCCCAATCTCCCCAATCCCCGAATCCCCCACAATCCTCAAACTCCTAATCTCCAAAAGGCTGGTAACGCACTTGTAATGTTTCTGGTGTTCCAGGTGTCCATGGGCGACGCCGATTGCTTACCATCAGGTGATCCGTCTGCTCGTTTAACGGCTTATGCTATAAAAAAAAACTTGGTATGATAAGGGCGACCAACAAACGGATGATCTGATAGTAAGCAATCGGTGCCATCAAGCCATAACACCAAAGGAGGTAAATTTGCATTACCGATCTTCTAGAAGGAGTTGAACAAGGTAACCGATACAGATTTTCTGTTAGGACGTTGTAACACTTCAGTTGAGCCTTTTGGTACCAAGTATGGCTTTTCCATGTAAAAATATGAATATGTCTCATTTAGTGTGTCAACCTTCATAAAATTCACGCGTAGTTTTATTCAAAGTTGTATGACAAATTATTTTCAAAATAATGTGTGACCACAACTTCAAGCTGTCATTGTCGCCTACTAAATTGATGTTTCAGTGTTAATTAATAAATTAATTATTTGATGATTTGTTGTATACTAATTTTGAACGTTATTATTTTGTCATAAAGTCGACAATGGGTTAAAATTTTACATTTTCAGGGTTAATTTGATGTCCTGCTATTGTGGGACAATGTGACATTATTTACTGTTGAAATTGAAATGTGAAATTGAATGAATTATTGTGTTTATTTTGACGGATTATTACAGTACAGAATAATGCAATGGAATTATAATTTAGTTAGTTTTATTAACCTTTTTAAGTATTATATAGTCATTTTAAAAACCAGGTGTTAACCTATGTTTTACGAAGAAAAATAAATAAGCAAACTTTAAAAAAAATGTACTTAGAACGACTTGTAGATCGGGGTAAATTTGTTAAGCTTCAAATAAACAAACTACCAAAGTAATATTGGTTACCAGAACAAATGTATTAACGGTCTGATGACTGCACTCTCCACCTTTTATACCGATCTAAATTTTCTTCTACCTTCAAAGATTCCCAAGAGTATAGTATATACTTAACACTATACTCATTGATCCTAAAGAAGTAATTCTCAACAACTTACTTCATTTAACCTAAAGCAAACAAAAATAATTGAATCTTGCATTAGCTTACACCACTAATGTAATTGCTCCTATCTGACAAACTACTGCAGGATGACAATTTCACGATAGTGGCTCCTGTTCCTCAATACAGGAAATTGGTTGGGTAACTTTTAGCAACTTTAACTTTGCTTTCAAGTTGCTGGAGATATGCTACTAGATATAACTGTTAGGGAAATTGACGGTGATGCATTATAAATTGAACTAGATTAGGATGTTTTAGAAATTGGGAATCAGGAACAGGTAAGTCAGTATTTTGCAGGATTTATGAGTTATATACGTTCTCTTTTTGCTCCCATGCCAAATTCAGAAATGATAATTTAGCTAATCCTTCAGTTTAATACAATATTAATGCATTATTGTCAACTTTACGACCTGATTGTGTCTTGTCTATTAAAATCTCGTCTCACAGTATTCCTACAAAATTAAAGTAAAGGTTTCTAACATTTTTTCTACATTCATACACAAACTACACCATGAAAGTAAGTAACCAAACTTATATTCCCACTTACTTCTAAACTTACTTATTAACAAAAACATGAACTTACATTAAAAGCCTCGACTTTACAAGCAAAGAAAAAATCGTAAATACTACGAAAATACTAGCAACTTTGTATAGCAGTGCGCGTGTGCGTTACAGCCTTACGGTACAGGCTTCAGTCGGTTTCAGGAGTCGAGCGAACACGCCGCCCTACACGCCCGCCCGCCCAAAAAGTTCGTGAACAAATCTGCCCAAAGTTTTTCCGTGTGTCAGTGCTATATTTCAGTGATTGTTTCATGTGTATTTGTGGTTGGTTTCTGTGAATGGTATGTATGTAGTTTGTTTTTTTATTTAGGATAAGTTTTGAGACAAAAAGTTTAGTGTTTGTGAGAAAATTAGTTTGAAGGAATTTTTTGTTGGTAGGAAAATAGGGTGTTCTTTTTCGATGTGATATTTATAAGATTATAACATTCTAATTTTTAGGGAACTTTATTCACCTTCTTCTCTTCATTCTTGAGGAGGAAGTAAAGGTATCTCCTGCAGGAATTCACCGAGGGAAGTGGAAACTATCGTTTTTTTTTCTTCTCCTCTTATAACATCTTCTGATTTATTTCGTTGTGGGAACCAAGACTGTCCCTGAGACGCGCCGGACTTTAGTGTATATGTGTGTATATATGTAAGCCAGGGCTCATAAGACTTGCAGCAGTTATGGGTGGTTGCGGCGGGCATGTAAAAATATTCACCTTGAAATTTGTTAAAAAGAAACAGTACTATATAAAAATAACTATATTTACAACACGTGCAATTGGACGAGTAATTTAACTTTTTAACTACAAGGCGTTTGTCTTATATTTGACTCAAAATATTTTCTTTAGTTAAGGAGTAACTCTTGTAGGTATTATCTCAAAGACGATTAATTTTAGAATCTACTATCATTTAGATAGTAAGTCAAAGGAACAAATTGGTATGAGTAACTTCGACTTAGCTGCTTTAACTGAGCTGCCTGTCAAAATATTTACAAAAGTACTTGTTACTTGTGATAAGTACTCGATAAACACTGGAAGTGATATTTTAATTATAGGTATATTACTCTAGAATAGTTGATTAAAATAAGATGAAATTTCAATTACAAAATTGTATTAGTAAGACGCGGTGAAGTATAAACTTTGGGCGCATTTTTTATACTTAATAAATGATTTCATTGGATTCGTTTTGAGGCCAATTACAGAATAAAAAAATCTGATTATGCCAAATAGTTCCATAATTTAGAAAATGTTTTGATAACATTTTCTTTCCCTCTGATTATTTATTTTGTATAACTCCCAGTTGCCTCTTCAGTTTTTAAAATACTTATCGTGTTATTGATAAACAACCAGAAAAGGATTATTATACTTGTTGCCACGGAGTAATTCATTAATTTCTTGAGTATATTACTTTGAATTGACTTTGAATTGTACAATATTTCGATGTCATAATGTAGACTTGTGTTGATCCTCTCGCGCGCCTCTCGTACACACGGGTAAACGGGCGTTCTCGTACCCGTGGTAAATATTTAAAAGAAATGCGAATGAACTGGGTATTCTGTTCAATCAAATAAAGAACGGGTTGCAAACTTGAAAATATACGTCACAGAAAAAAAATCCAATCGGTTCGCGTTTCTCGTACACCCGTGTGTACAATTCCGCGATGGGCACTCAACTCTCTCGTATACCCGTGTGGACGAGAAACACGCGAGAGGTTATATTAGCTTCATTAACCGACTTCAAAAAAAGACCTCAATATGACCTGTATGTACGTTTGTGCGCGATTATCTCGCAATTGACCAAACCGATTTTGATGCACTTTTCGAAAAGAGCACATCACTTAGAAGAAGGTTTTAATGTTTATTAATTAATCGACTTCAAAAAAAGAAGAAATTAAAGTCGGTTTTTTTTAACGTTATTTATATTTTTTTTATTATTTACTTTATTCTACTGCCGGACTTTCTTTATCTGTAGATCACGCAACAAATAGTTTACCGTGAATGAATTGAGTCCGGGCACTGCGCATCAGCCAGTTTATTTATGTGCGACTGTCGAGCAGTCGAGCAGTCGAACACAAGTCTTATTTTTAGGTTACCACTTTTATTAAAGACTTAGATAGTTGACTTTCACATTTAAAATTGAACAGTCTTTGACATTATTTATTATTATTCTTCTATGATACCACTTCTGTAAAACAATGTGGAACGCAATAAAGAATTTGAATTTGACAATAAGTTCGTTCCGATTTCAAGAGGTTCTGTGGTCTAAATCTTGGGAGAATATTTACATGTCATACCAATAATACAGTTTAATATCTTAGTCTCGTTACTGTAAACAAAGACTCAACAATTTCTACATGAAAGGTTCTTTCTCAAACACAGACTTAAAGGTGGTTGAACAACTTTACAGTACCGAAACTCGTTAAAATGACTTGATGGGGAAAGTTAGGCATTTCGTGTTGACATCGCTACAACTATTAATTATCGTCTTGCTTACAATATATACATACATACGTATAATGACGTCAAACTATTACATATTGTTGTTCTTTGATACAATTTCTGCTTTATTACAAAATGTTAAAGTTGGAAATGTTATGTAGCTTATTTGTGACTTTAACCGCGTTGAATTAATATCATTTTTGTCAAGTTGATACTTATACTATAGTCGAAAAAAATACCCTATGTTAGTCTAATCAATCAATTTTGTAATTAAGAAAAAAATGTTTATATCAAACATTTTGGATCTTCAATGCAAACAAAACATACATTTTATTTTATTTTTTCAATAACATTATTACTACAGATTATATCCTTGTACAAGTTATAAGCAAAAAGGCTTTAACAGTACTACGGTTTATTGGCTCAGGTAATGTGGTTAGTGGTACGTCGTAAGTAATTACTTCATTAAACGTAGCTCTGAGGTCCGACTGCCTCGTTTATTTTATGGTTACTGCAACGATTGTTGAATAAGAGAACTTATTATCAATATATCTGAAAAATATTCTCAAAGTCATTTTTTGATGGACGGAAATCATCAAATGGCGTCAGATGGCATCTGATTTATGACGACCTTGGGTGAAGCAAGAGGGGGTGTCAGACCCTTGATGACTAAAAACAGCCCGTTCTTACTTCTGTTTCAAATCGGAGCTCTGGTAACCTGCTTGGTCATTCATAGCTTCAGCCTAATTTTTTTTTTATTAATCCTAGTGCGGGCACACTGCAGATATCTTCACTCCTACTAACCGCAGTGATGGTAATCAGTGATGCATAATATGAATTGTGACAATGTTTATGTGTTGGTTCACATTATGACTATTTATTTGGTGGTTTATAGGCCAAATTACAAGCGTCATTAAACCCAAATAGTTTCTATACAATTTGATGCTCAATAACAAGTTAGCTTGCAGCTAAAACACCGCTTCATTTTAATGAAGCTTCGCATTTCTAGTTTAAATATAGGCACGGACATGTTGAAACTTGTACCATTGTCACTATTGAATAACTCGGAAACTCAAAACGACATTTGAAGACTCGGAAATTGCTTAAACGTACATTTCTGAGCATGAATTATGCAAACATGTTCCAACTTCGTACATTGAGCGATGCCAAATATTTGAAACTCAATGGACTTTTTGAACTACTCTCATATACTCATAGTTGTCATTGTGCTAAATTTCTCCAGAGGAATTTGGACTTTGTTTTTGTTTTGACAAGCTTTAGAATTGTATGTAGTGTTGTGGCTTTTCTGTGAATTTTTACGTGAATCATCTCCTCGTCAAATGTTTGTTCCCTTTGAAAGAAGTTTGTGGCGCAAATAATTTAAATAGTATGAGTTACTACGCCAAGTAATGAGATTGTTGATCATTGTTGTGACCGAAAATAATTTTTATTGTCGTATTTTTTCTGTTGATTTTGTTTTTTTTTCGTTACATTACTTTAGTTTACTGGGTGCTTTGATATGTAAATCTCGTAGTAAAACGGTAAATGTTTGTATTTGTAGACGTATTTGTAGACAGGGATAAGAAAAAAAAAATATTCTTATCTGTTTGTTTCAATATCTTTTGGTTAAGATACCTAGTAATATTAAAGATAAAGTGCCTAATTTTTTTTAAGTTTTACTATTGATTTTCTTTTAAAAAACTAAATTTCATTGGAATAGAAAGCATGAATCAAGATCTAATAAAGTCATGCCTAATTTGTCATATGAACCTACACGTTTTCTAAATATCGATATAGACACGATGCTATCAAGATAAAAAATATTTATAAAATAACTATCATTCATTATTTGTATTGAACTTATTTATATAATATAATATAATCATGCTATTTTCTACACAGTTAAGTAGTCTACGTTACAAACATTTCAAGTAAATATGCAAACAATGAGGGGTCTAATCACACAATGATACCACGAAGTGATACCACAGCTTCACAGAAAACCGACGTGATACAAAGCCTGTGTTGTGTTTCGTCGTGTGAGAGGTCAATCACTTGAATCACCAAAAATTCTCAAATTATTAATCCCCAAAAGGCCAGTAACGCTCTTGTAACGCCTCTAGTGTTCCAGGTATCCATGGGCGACGCCGATTGCTTACCATCAGAGGATCTGTCTGCTCGTTTACTGGCTTGTCCCATACGAAAAATTGTGATTTCTTCCAGGCAACCTTTGGATGGAATTTTATAAGAAATCAGATATGGATCAAATTATCGCAACTCTGAACCAGTTCAGTCAAATACATAGGTAGAAAGTAGTCAAATACAAAATGTCGATACTTAAATAGGTCAAACATTGTTTACACAATGAAAGCTCCAGGGAATTCCATTATATGGAATAATAATCCATTTTCCAATATTATCCACAACCAGGTGGGTAAATAGTCCATCCTATCAATATTACGGCCCTCAAGGGATGCCCTGATCATAATAAAAATATACTGCACTTTTTTCAGAAAATAGAGTCTAGTAATACTTTGAAAATATTGACAGAGGATTTGGAAATCCTGTAATTAGTTATAACTAGCTGATCTAAAGGGCTACCCTGAAAGATAAGAAATTTGTCAGCAAAAAACACGACCATGACACTGAAGATTATACTACGATAACAAATTAACGTCTTCTTACTGACGACGATAATAACAGAGCATGTTAATACATATTGTGGTAATTTAATAATAGTCCTCCATGCTGGTTTCGGCTACCTAAAAAACGAAACATTACGAAGAAAATTATTTGCCCTATACACTTTATCGTACCAGACAGTTCACCGTAACATTGTACAATAAACAATAATAAACATAACTTACGAAACACACAAAAGGTTCTGTCCACCCCTTCGGGGAATAAGGTTTGATGTTTTATTCATGATATTATGTTTTGTGATTTTGAACAGGAAAACGACATACAAACGTTATGTATACCTTGGAGTAAAGTTTTGGTTTACGTCTTAACAAAAAACTTTTCTCAGAATTTAACTTGTTTGCTTTTTTTTATTAAGATCAGTATAACCTTTAGTCATTATTACCGACTTCATTATTATTTTTTTTTATGGCATAAGCCGGTAAACGAGCAGACGGATCACCTGATGGTAAGCAATCGGCGTCGCCCATGGACACCTGAAACACCAGAGGCGTTACAAGTGCGTTACCGGCTTTTTGGGGATTAGGAGTTTGAGGATCGTTGGGGATTCAGGGATTGGGGACATTGGGGAAGAGGAGGGTAATTGGGCCTCCGGTAACCTCACTCACACGACGAAACACAACGCAAGCGTTGCTTCACGTCGGTTTTCTGTGAGGCCGTGGTATTACTCCGGTCGAGCCGGCCCATTCGTGCCGAAGCATGGCTCTCCCACACTCTCACACAATTATTCATAGTTATAAGTTTAAGTTTAAAAAGATTCTTATTTATATTGTCTCTGCGATTTTTGTGTCTTTAGACTACCTCGTTGATCATACCGCTTCGTATGACCGCCAAGCATGGAGTCCCGAGATAGGACCCAATAATACTGTTGGGGTTTATTTGATAATGTTTCAATAACAGAACAGAACTTAAAAATCGATGGTCCCTAGGTAAAGTATCGAAAGTGAAAATCGCTACTTTGCAGGAGAGCGATTTAAAGTTTATTTTTTGCATAAAATTGTCACGGGTGATTAAATCTTTATAAAAATTAGGATAAACAGTTGTGTTGGCCCTACAAATTATTACGTATAAGCTAAGATTGTAAATTTTGAATAGTTATCGAGAAAATTGAGTTACCATAGTATACTTCGTAAATGAACTGACTTTTTGCGTCGAAACTGGCACTTTCGATTATTTACAGGGAATTAAATTTACAAAAATTTATCACATCTGCCTATTTCGATATTCTACTTTGGATTATGTTAGGAATAATTTATTGCAACTGTCACTTTCGATTATTTACTGCGTAAATTTCTTGTACTTACCATTATTTTTGAATAACAACAACAGAATTTACATAAAATATCTTTATTAAAGTAGTAATATATGTTATTATAAATTGAAAAATAAATTGAAAACTCTAAATTTAATCAGTCTCTGTAAACCTTAATGTAATTTTTAAAATCTGAGATCACGTATTTTTTTTACCTAGGTTAAATTTAAACAAATACAAATCGTAAGTACCTTCTGTATAAACTAAAATAATAGGAACTTAAAAGAATGAGATCACAATTAAAACACAGCTACTATAAAAATATAAAAATAGTATGTAGAGGTACATAGTATAACTTCCATGAGAATAATAGTTTTGAAATAAAAGTTGTACAAAAAATATATCTCAGAAAATAATAAAATAAGTTAACGCGTGCGTTTAATCGTAGTGTGTGCTTAGCCTAACTTAAGACAAAAACAAATGCAAATAAATTGTAGTTAAAAATAAAACATACTTATGACAATCCAATAAAAAAACTAAAAAGATTGACTTCTTTGGAATTTATCTAATTAAAAAATCAACTTATCAATCACCATCATAACCTTCATAACAAAAAATAGCCTCTCATTGTAACATAATAAAATGACATAAACTTCCATTTTAACAAAAACAATTTAGTAGGATACGTATAAGAAACATTACTCATCACATTCATTATCATTTATACTACTTTCGGCGACTGTACTATATTTTAAACTTTCATAAAATCTATGGTATTCTCTGGGTATTGCTCCGGAGCGACATAAGGAAATTAAATCTTTGTATTTTGCTTCTGGTATAGCGAGTGACTCTAAATAAATATTTTTTAAATCTGTTGGTTGATCCTTTCTTTTTTTTCGGCTTCTAGTTTCTACGGTGGTATTTATATAAAAATATTCACCCTTCAAATCATATTTAAAATACAGACTATTTGGTTCCTCCTTTCTTACATTAATTTCTTTAATGCTGTTCCATTTTACAATTTCATTTCTATTATCTTTTTTCCAATTTTTGTCATCTAATAAAAATTTAAAATCATAAAGATCACTTTTGGTTACTTCTACAACGTTGTAGGGTCTCCCTTCAGCCTTTGCCCATCGTACTAATGCATACCACTGGTCAGGCGTATAAATTAGTTTTCTTTTAGATTCTCTCTCAATAAGGGCGTGGACACTATCGCCCTCATTTTGTGTATGGCCTTGCTCCATAAAACGATGAGTAATATCAATGCCATAGCGTTTTGAAATGTACATATAGAATGAATATACGACTCTATTTCTATTTTGACCCGCACAGTTATCGGACCAAAATAAGAACTTTTTAGCACCTCCCGCAACCTTTATGTTCACAAAATGCATCAAACAGCTACTTACTTCGTTAGCTCCCCTTTTACCCGTGCATTCCGTCCACATGTAACATGTGCCTTCTTTTAAACCCAAATCAAAAACGGTAAAGTTAAATATAGACAATTTACGTTTATAATAAAATAAACCTACGTCTCCATGGGGACAATTTAAAATTTTTTGGAAATCGAATGTTGCACATACAGTGTCAGGTGATTTTATTGCTTGCTCTTTGTCATTATTCTTTATCTCTCTAGCTATTGTCTTATTCTCTAGGTGTTTATTATGAGCCTGTATTTGCTCTTCTGTTGGAGACGTATTGTTAGAATAACTATGACATTTATCACAGATATCCTTCTTAGGAATAAAAAACCCAACGTTCATATTAGCATTAATGATGTCTCTGTACTGACGAAGGGTTTGCGCTGGATTGCTATAGGTTGAAAATTGGTCCCATTCTTTATATAGAGAAAACATCCTGTTCATATTTAAATTATTGTCTAAGTACAACTTAGTGGTATCTTTACGTGTGTAATGTGATTCTACAGGTTGGAAGCTAGCTACGTGATCACAGACACTCTTAACCATTGCAGTATCTACGACGTTTGGATGATTGGAGTGTTTACCCCTATTGTCCGTTAATGTAATCCCTTCTTGGCTCAATTTACTATGGGCAGTGCGCACAAATTGATCAGTTATACAGAAAGTATTTAAAAATGTTTTAAGACAAACCTGTTGTCGAGTAATTAATGTATTATCTGCTGGTATTGGTAAAAAATACTTAGTCGTGAATTGTCTTCTAGATGGTCCCTCTGTTGTGATTCGTTTTTTATTATTTTTTTCTGTAAAGTTATTGATGAATTCCCATTGTCTGGTATGATCGGCAAGTTCCCAAAACTTATTAAAAATGTTTTTACGAATGTCTGTATCAAATTTTTCAGAACATTTCATTTTGCATGAAGATGAACAAACAGGACGCAATTCTTTTTTATTTTTAATATTTCCATTTCGACTTACGTATTGTTGGCCAGAGTTTAATAAGTGCTTTCTTTTGTTATCAATCCACTTTTCGGGGCAACTAGATCTTTTTTTTCCGGGGTTAGTTTTAAAAGTACGCTTCCTTTTGTTTCCTATGCTGCTACATGGAGAATTACATTCCGATACAGTTATATATGAATCTACACTTGGTGTAGGCTCAACATAATTCTCACCTAACTGTTCTGAAGGCACGGGTTCTTGTACTTCATTACGCGGAGGAGATGTGGAAGGTATGGGAGACCCAAAGTTTAACTTTGGGGAAGGTACCGGAGTTGTTTCCCTGCTGTCCATGATAACAGATGAACTTTGCTCTGGACTTTCTTCGATTATTAATGAATTGCATGGTCTTACAGAGGGGATATTAAAACTATGGAGTTCCTCTTGCACTAAATTTCTATCCGAGGAGAGTTCCTCATCCACCAGCTCCTTTAAGTTATTCCAATCGGATTCATTAAAGGTACAGCTTGCGGGTAGCGGCGACTCTAAAAAAATACTTAGATATGAATACACAGAATATGTAATAAATAAAATGTCATTAAAATTTAAATATAAACAAACATGATATAGTTACACATAAATGAAATTTCATTAAAACTTAAATTAATATTTCATTAAATAATCCAGGTTTATTAATTATACGCAATAGATACTAAAAAAAGCAAATTTGTACTTCATTTTCAAATAATAACTATCGAATATTTCCAAAAAGTATATTATTTCCATGCAAAAAAATCGAAAGTGGCACTATCAATAAAGATTTTAATTTATAATACCACGTATAGTATCGAAATGGTCTTTTTGGATACAAATAATTTATGAAAAAACAACGTACATCATCGAAACTGGTATTTTCGATACTATTTAGAAACGACAACGCGCCGTAAACAATTGAATCTGCCCGTTTCGATCATTTACGCGGTAAACCTTTTCAATTCTAGTAAAACTGCACTTATAGATAAAGTTTATAGATAATTTAAATAACCTATATACTAAAATCAAATATTATATAAGTAATAATATAAGTAAAATAAAATATTTAAAACATTACATGGTAAAACTTACCTGGATTTAAAATTACTGACTCTGATTCAAAGTTTTGTTGTTGTTCATTCTTACTGTTTATTTCCACTAAACCAATAATTCTCCTCGATCTTGAGTGCATTTTTAAGGGTAATTGACTAATTACTCAGTATTTTAGGTATAGTATTTTAAAAAAATGAATTAATTACTCAGTATTACGCAAACGCAACGCCGGACGCGCATGCACTGCGGGGCGCGGCGAGGACGGCGCGTACACTCGCGACAGTGGTAGTTCCGTCCTTTTCGCACTCTCGCCGATACAACGTAAGCTCGCGAGAGTTAACTTTCGTTGTTATACGACGGCTAGAGTATTACATTCCGATAACATACGTCTCTAAATATCGCGAAACTTAAGAATTTTCCTCTTTTTTGAAGTTGTATTAAAAAATATCCTTTAAAAAGAGCTCAAAAAAGTAATAATAAAAAATTGCTATTTTGTTGATTCGATACTTTACTTAGGGACCATCGAAATTAAACAAACACATAGATCATCAAACTATTAACTAAGTAGTCCACAAACAAAACAAGTCAACTCTCAAATTTTTAATCATAAGAGCCGTATAAATCGGTAGAAAGAATTCAGCATTGTTTCTTTCTCCACCAGTGAAGTTTTTGTCCAAGCAGTTCTAATTACTATACCTCTACATTAATACTTGTTGAATAAACTCTTCTCCTGTTTCCTTTGTTTTAAAATCTTGGAAATGCATTGTCGTACAGGTCAACCGCAGTTTTATTAAAAAACAATGGTAAGTTAAATAGTTTTGCGTTCCATTCAGAGCCAGATATTTTGCTGTGAATTTTGTTTTTTATTTTCACGTCTTCTATATAACTGAAGTAGTTTTTGGAAACACAGCTACGGTATAGGCAGGTTAGAATATTACTGATTTGCAGATTGCAGATGTTTAATACCTGCAAAGACTTGGCCTTTTTTTGTTATGCTTAAAAATCGGGAATTGTCAATACGTAATAGCAATGTTTGAATACATTTAGTTTACGCCACAATTTAAAATAATTGAAGACACGGAATGGGTGTAAAATAATACTAACAATCACTTAAACAAATGAACATGAACAGACACAACTGACATAAGAATCAATTTCCCAAAACAATTGAACATCAGAATCATAATCATTCAAAGGTCAATAACCTCCTTACCTAAATCCTAACGAAGCACACATCTCCAATATCTCCAATATTTCAAGTCATTGTTCACAGTGATTGATGCTTCCGATATTGCTTATCGTTCGTCCAATGAAAAATTATGTTCGCCCTGAATATTGATTGTGTTTGGTAACTTTTCAAAATGGGAGGATCAGTTCTCTATGGGAGCTATTAATGTGGGCGTGACTTATCTGTTAAAGCTCTCATGAGCCTATTTTTCTTTTGATAGAATACGATTTCAATCCATTAAAATGTCTTTACTCTTTTAAATATCAGTTACATCATTAAAGTTATTCAGTTTATTAAAACTTCTTCGCTATTTGGAGCATTATACATAATTTTTTGTCGTCATTCATATTGTGACTACATTTTACATAATTATTTTATAACAACCGCCTTCAACCACATCTTTTTTGAAGTCGGTTAAGTAATATACCAAAATCATTTCAGCCAATCCTGAGATCGTTACTAGTTTTAAGCTTTGCCAAGGACCTATGTTCATGAGAAGCATAACAGAAATCAACACGGCAACCATCATCCTTGGTCCTTGAATAATCTGTACTTTTCCTTTCATAAATACAACCAGCAAGATATCATTATGATGCAACAGTAAATAATAGAATTTCCCATTCAACACCAGCTATTATGCATCAAATTAATTAGCTGTAAGGTTACTGAGAACTGAGCGCAAAGCTATACTCTCCAGGTCTTGCTAAATTTGTTGACTAGCTGTGATAGCTAGCTTCACAGCGCGTGGTAAATTGTTGTAACTATTGCAAACTGTTTTGACATTCAAATAGTTTAGTTGATGCTTTAGTTAGTGAAGCTCTTGTTACAAATATTAGTTTTGGTTTGTGACATTGTCTTAATGGTATGGTTTGACAATCAGTTTAAATTTTGTTTAAATATTGCCCCACACTAATATTTTCGGCTGTATCAAGTATGTACAAGTTCACATATACATCACTTGAAACAACAATTTATGAATCACACGAAGCGTTGCTCCATGCGGGAATCGAAGCCGCTTCACAATGCGCTGCTGGCTGCCCAGCCACCGCACCAAACATGTAGTCGCTTTCCCTCTGTCCAAGTGTTTGTGTGTACCAAACTTCAAAATTCGTTTACTAACTAAAGTATGAAAATGTAATGTAGTGTATCTTTACATATTTCTGCATATTTTGTAACATAATTTCATTACTGATATACATAACGAATAGACCGGCTCGACCGGAGTGATACCACGGCCTCACAGACCTCACTGTTTCATCGTGGGAGTGAGGTTACCGGAGCCGGAGGCCCAATTACCCCCCTCCCTAGTCCTCGTCTCCCGAATCCCCGAATCCTCCAAAATCCTCAAATTCCTAATTCCCAAAAAGGCAGTAACGCACTTGTAACGCCTTGGTGTTTCGAGTGTCCATGGGCGGCGCCGATTGCTTCCCATCTGGTGATCCGTCTGCTCGTTTACCGACTTATGCTATTCAAAAATAACTATATCATGAATACTTTGCATGATATCGTCATAGTTCCACCTATGCAAATTAAATCCATTTCATTTGAATTTTGAAAAAACCAAACAAGATAATAATTATGTTACCAGAAATTCAAACATTCCATTTAGGTACACAACTATAACTCAAACGAAACAAGAATTAATCAAACAAAATCCCGAAAAAAAGATCCGTTATATAGAGGTAATCGTAAAATGAATTCAGTTCCGAAAAATTCCGTTCACGTTGAGAAAGGGTCCACCGCAGTATCAAATTTTACGCATCAGCTGTTGATGAAAGCATATAAATCATACCGGAGACTCGCTCTGGATCGGCTTTATTTTTCAGTCTGTCTTTTTCCCTCGATATGAGACTGATAAATGTGTTTAAGGTATTAATTTCATATTTAGATAATACATACTCATATTATATCAGATTGGGTTTTTCTATATCGATTTAAAGTACTCCTTATTTATGTATTTGTATTCAATAAATTATTTCATGAAACTGAAATTCAAACTTCACTTGTCTAAAATGAGGAAAGATTTTGTTGTTTTTTAAAAATATTTGACAAAAACATTTATATTGGGAAGTGTCATGATTCTTAGAAGTCTTGAGGTAAATCATTTAAGTAGGTATAAACTTGAATTTAGACAAATATAGGACGAATATCCACAGAATGCGAAAAACACACAAAAGGCATCTGGCTTTTAAAAACAACGACAAAATATACCTAACAATTAAAAAATTTAACATTCAAAAAAAAAAAACTATTGAAAAATAAATATTATTTTATAAATAGTCAACAGGTATTTACAGTCAACCACATTGGTCTATCGATCAGTTCAAAGTTCTCTTCCTACACGATGACGGATCTCAACCAATTCTGGTAGTAACTGACCCTGACGTACATGTCAGGAGCACCAAGAGCACATGGGAAACCCCAGGAGACGATACCGAACTGATGACCATCAAGAGCGCGACGCAGAGCACTGCCAGAGTCACCCTGTAGGAAGACACAAGAATATATCCAGATTTTTTTCATTTTAAGCCATTCAATTATCCAATTATGTTGAATAGACCTCATTAAAGTGTGGGAGAGCTATGCTTCGGCACAAACGGGCCGGCTCGACCGGAGTGATACCACGGCCTCACAGAAACCGGACGTGAAACAACGCTTGCGTTGTGTTTCGGTAACGCACTTGTGAGCCTTGGTGTTTACATCGGCGGTGCCGATTGCTTACCATCAGGTGTGATGCGTCAGCTCGTTTACCGGTTTATGCTATAAAAAATGTGCCTAAAGAAAATAACCCTAATGTATATATACTCACATTGCAAACACCAAATCCAGTTGAATGATAGGCACAGACTTCGCATCGAGGATCAACAGGAGGAGAGTTTAAACTATTCAGCGCAATAGCAGCACGAGCGGCGTGGATCATGCAGTCTGCACCGTCTAAAGTCCTGGTTCTGAGTTCCAGCAATTGATGAGAAATAGCACCACCAGCCTGGAATATTGGAGAAATTTAATGATATTGTTAAAAAAAGAAAGCCACTGTCGAAGTATTAGTAGGTCAATAGTAGCGAAGCTTCACTGGCTCATTTCACAGAGTAAATACTTCAAAATTTAAAACAATCTCTTTTTACTTTATGTGACGTACACCAGGCTGTAAGTGTTTATATTATAACTTTTGCCAAACAAACTAAATTAATTATTATGTTTTCGGCTTACTCACGGAATATTTGACAAGGAACTCTACTAGTGTACTCAAGCCATACTAGGGGCTCATATTCATGAGCAGCATTCCGCGTCGTGGGTCACGGAATGCTACTCATGAATATTAGGCTGTTAGTTTACTTGACTAATCTCATTGAGTAATGTAGTGCTGTTTGTTTTCTCACCCTGACTCTGCCCCAACCAGCAACTATAGATGGAACTTCTCCACCAATGTAGTCATAAGTGAGAGGTACTGGTTGCACCAGGTTGCTAAGAGCTACGTTGATGGCGGTGATGAGAACACCGATGTCTTCCTTAATTGTTGGCCTGTACCAGTTCGGATGGGTGACATTGCGAGCCACAACGTAGTCGGTTCCGCCGTTCCAGAGATTGGAGCCAATATTTAGCCGAAATGTGCTGTGGAAGCATGGGAAAGTATAAGTGATTTGATAGATTAGAAAATACAGACAGTAAAATTGGTTATATAACAACGTTACCTAACGAGAGCGCCATCCCTAAATACAGCATCAATGCAGTGAGCAGCAGTGAGGACAGTGCGCTGGGTGATCAAAGAGGCTCCGCAGTGAAAACTCCTCACAATTGCTCCAGAGGTCATTGCTACCATGTGAGGATGGCCACCACTTGCTGACTGGGTACCACCGACAACACGAGCATTGACGTCGGTTTGATCGAAAAAGATAGACAATTCATTTTCTTCGAAGAGGGCATCTTCAGGTGTTGGGAAGGCTTTGGAAAATATAAGTAAATAAAATGTTATAAAAACATTTAGATAAAAAAACGCAGAGTATTAAAAGATAAAGTACAACTCACCCAAGCTTCCAATCAGGAGGGTGATGAACACCAAAAGTCCCGCTTTGTAGTCCATGTTTCGCAACGCCCAATACGTGTTTGAGACGTAAACCAAATAATATTTTCTATTGATATATATAATCTACAATTATTCTACAGTACTAAGATATACATATTATAATCCTAGTTGATTGTTTATCAACATTTTATTAAGGTGATAACGTAAATGATATTACAATTTCGAGATGACTTGTTATTTTATCAAAATTTAATTTCATGATAAAAATAATTAGTGATTAATAAGATAAAAATATTATCAAATCACAAACAGCGGGCACTTGATGGCCTAGTTTGTGCCGGTCATCATTCTGGTGACAAGCACATTAAATAGTATTTGTAATCTTCCATTTTGTGCACTTAAGAATTATAACTATGCCTGGCTTATTTCTGCATTACATGGGACCTGTTACACAACTGTTGAAAGTAGTGTGCTATATGTAATTATATGTAAGAGGATGCTGCATCTAATTTAAATTTTGTTGTTCGGAGGAATACTTCTTTTTATTTTGTAGTTTTTCTGGTAAAATAGACAGGAAAATAGATATTCTAAAAAAATTGTCTTCGGCCGCCATTCATTCAAGATGGCGGCGCCCTTCTCGTCATTGAAGTTGCAAATAGCTCATACTCTAAAAAATTGTCTGAATCTCAATGTAATCCTGGTATCTTATGGCATTTATCATTTCTTTTTTTGGGAATATTTTTTGTTGTATAATAGAATTATTTCAAATTGTAAGTAAACATAATTATGTGGACGCTACGTTTGAGACAATCATTCATAGCTTTAAATTTCATTTAGTTCCATTCAATTTTAACGTTGCATTGTCGTTACATCGTTTATAGTGTATCAATGAGACTGTAAAAACATTTTATTATAAGAGTGACAATAGACTTCCTTGCTCGTTCTTCTCCATTGGAAACTATACTTTGAAACGAGCGCCTAGCTTCACTCACAGGCAAACGGACGGACAATTAAATTTTTTATGTTTCAAAAGTGTCTAATTAAGGATTAATTGAAATAAATTCTTTGACTTTGACCTTAGCAGATACATAGGTATTAAGCGATATGAATTTGTTTCTCTATATCCAATTAATATTTATATCCACTAGTGTTTTGGACTTCACTTGTATAAACTAGGAAAATTTACTTTGATACTAATTATTGCAATCATTTTAAGATAGCCATTTAGTTAGAGTTGGCCAGATTATCAAATTATGTACCAAGTAAAACACATTTAAAAATGTTCTTTTCAAATAAGACCAACAATTCAACAATTTTCACTTAATTTTACTTATAGAAGTAAACGATAAGTATTCATTGCTTATTTATATTAAACTAATAAAACTTAACGTTCAAAAAAACAGTTAAATAATATACATTATACATATATCATTTTATAACACAGATATAATTTGTAAAATCAATATGAAGTAACTACAAAGATGTATTCCTAAACGATGACGGATCTCAGCCAGTTCTGGTAAGTGCTGACTCTGACGAACATATCAGGAGCACCGACTGCACAAGCGAAGCCCCAGGATACGATACCGATTTGATGACCGTCAATGGCACGACGGAGAGCACTGCCAGAGTCACCCTGCGGGAACATGTAAATAAATAAAATTATTAACGTTAATTTTGCAAACAGGCTACATAAACATATATTCAGAGTTAAGCCATTCCTTCAAAGAAAAACATCCAATCATATATCAATTTCACCAGAATCAGTCCTTATTTACTTAATAAAACAAATAATATTGGTAATACTTACATTACATGTGCCCAATCCAGGAGAGTGGTAGGTGCAGATTTCAAACCGAGGGTCGATAATGGCTACACCGTAGCGAGACGTACCCTGCACGAGGTCAACACGAGCAACGTGCGTCATGCAGTCAGCACCGTCAAGAGTGCTGACCCTCAGTTCCAGGAGTTGCATGGAAATATGACTATTAGCCTGGAATTTGAAGGGAAAGTTAAATTTACAATGCAAGCTAAAGATCAAAGTTATAAAACTAAGGCAATGTCAAAGTATATTACTCTCACCCTGACTAGGCCCCAACCAGCCACTATAGATGGCACTCCTCCACCAATGTAGTCATAAGTGAGAGGTACTGGTTGCACCAGGTTGCTAAGAGCTACGTTGATGGCGGTGATGAGAACACCGATGTCTTGCTTGACTGTTGGCCTGTGCCAGTTTGGGTGAGTGACATTACGAGCCACAATGTAGTCGGTTCCGCCGTTCCAGAAGTTGGAGCCGATATTCAAACGGAGTGTGCTATATAGATTATTAAGAGGTATAAGTGGTATAAGTACTTAGATACTTTACATGATAAAGTTACTTTATAAAATTGGTCACACGATAACATTACCTTACAAGGGCGCCGTCTCTAAAAACAGCATCAATGCAGTGAGCAGCAGTTAGGACAGTACGTTGGCTAATCAGCGACGCTCCGCAGAGGAAACTCCTCAAAACAGCTCCAAAAGTCATTGCTACCATGTGAGGATGGCTGCCGATTGCTGCTGGAGAGCCACCGACGATACGTGCGTTGACATCGGTTTGGTCGAAGAAGGTGAAAACGTCATCATCTTTTTCGATAAAAACATCTTCGGGCGTTGGAAAGGCTATCGAAAAAAAAAAATATCGAATTGAAATCATTGATCGTTAACAAGATAACTATGCAAAAATATAAAGTGGTAAAACTCACCCAAGCTTCCAATCAGAAGAGTGATGAAGAGTAGAAGTACCACTTTGTAGTTCATGTTTCACGACGCCCAAAGCTTCTTTGAGGCGTAGACAAAATAAAATCATTCATTGATGTATATAGTGTGTCATACTTATTATCTCTCTATCACCAATTTGAATTTGTGATAAAAAGTAATTAGCCATTAAAACAGTATTTAATTAGATAAATATGTTGCCAAATCACCAACACAGCAGTTATTTGATAGCTCTGTACGTCAGGCATGTCATCATCAACAGCCTATAAATGCTCACTGCTGAGCAAAGCATCTTTTCACACGGAGAAGTTTGAGCATTAATCACAACGCTTGCTCAATGCGCTTTGGCGATTACAAACTTATAGTTAGAATTTATAAGCCCAGGTTTCCTCACAATGTTTTCCTTCGCCTTCAGTGGTGTCTAGACAATCTTAGAAAGTACATATAACTTAGAAAAAGTCACATTGGTACTAGCCGTTGGTAGGTTTCGAACCCACACTCTCATACATGAGAAGCAGGCGTTTTACCTCCGGGCCACCACCACAGTGCATGCACGTCAGGCATGTACGACTACCGTAAAATATTATTCATTTTCTTCAATTATCTCAATATAAATACTTAGTTATGGCAATACTTTAATAATAATGCCCGGTTTACGGCTACATTACAGTGGATGAGTCAATTGTAACCGGACTAATATGGCTATATACCGTACGATCCTTCATCACATTCAAGTTGCATACAAGTAGTCGTATATTGAGGTGTTTTACTACATGATTTTTTTTATCAACCAGTCCTTTACATTGCAATTGTTTAAATGAAATAATTATTATTAATTTTAGAAATAGGAAAAAAAGAATGAACCCCTTAAAATACACTAAAACTAATAGAGAAAATTAAATAATTATAATAAAAGGAAAAATAAAGAAAACAAAAACAAAGAAATATATCTAACTTAGGGCGTCGAAAAAGTTTTCCCCATCGCAATCGTTAAGAAAGGTGCCCAAACGACTGGCAGCATTGCCACGTTGGATGGCAATGCTTAACGTTTTATCAAGGTAGTAGCCAGCCTTTCGATCACTTGAAGTGTCAACCACCCTCTTTATAGAGGTAATATCTTTGTAAAGACGATGTGCACTTAGACACCAAGGCATATTTTATTATTAATCCATACATTTATTTAAAATTCTCTATAAATTACATTTTTAAATACAATTTACAAAATAAAAAAAAATAATATTTAAAAACCGACTTCAAAAAAACCAAAAACTAATAACAAACAAAAAGTCAAAACTAAAAAGCAAAAAATAACTATGATTAGTACTGATAGATTACCCACCCACTGATAGGTAAGAAGTCGGTGCCTCACGATACGTGCCGTTTCTAGGAGAACTGCCTTCTGTATCAGGCCCTTGATCCATCCACCTAACGCCAGCCTCCTAAGATGGATGTCGAGGCTTTTAGGGATTAACCCATTGGCCGACACGACTATCGGCACAATGATAGCCGAATCCACACTCCACATGTCGACAACCTCGTGAGCTAAGTCTAGATATTTTGTTTATCTTTCTCAGCTTTCACGAGGTTCTCGTCATGGGGAATGGTGACATCGATTATCATCGTGCGGCGTACTTGTCGGTCTATCACCACTTTGTCAGGTTTATTGGCTACAATAGTCCTGTCAGTAATGATAGACCGGTCCCTGTACAATGTGATATGGTCGTTTTCCAGAACTGGGTCGGGCACATACTTGTAGTACGGTACCTTAGACTCAACAAGTCGATAGTGTAAAGCAAGTTGCTGATGGATAATCTTGGCTACTTGATTATGCCTATGCAAATATTCACTGTTAGCCAAACGACCACAACCAGAAATAATATGTCTAATGGATTCACCAGGACTATGACATGCCCGACATATGTCAACCGTCCCATCGTTAATTATATATTATATAATTATATAATTACAGACAAATCCTTCAGTTTCTCTAAAGAGATTACTGAATCGTAGCCAAGACACGGACGCTAGAAAATCTACACTGGGCCCATGAAGGACCCGGAAGAAGCGTCCGTGGAGCTCCTTGCTATGCCATACCTCCTTGCGATCATTGACGCTCAGTACCACAGGTTGGCGCCAGTTCTCTTTTGCCAAGTATAGCGGAGTGAATCCATTATTATTATTAATATCATTATCATATATCAATCATAACTATAATTTAACAAAAAAAAATTTAATTAGGAAACTTAGCTTTGCTGGTTGTTCTAAATATTTTTAAATGGCCATTTGTGTAGGGCTGGGCAGAATATTCTTATTTGCATCTAGTAAAACTTGTTTTGAAACTTATCTTTCTGAAATAAGACCGATTATTCAACAATTTTCACTTAAATTTATTAATTGGCATAAATAGACAATAAATACTTAATATTTAAGACAATAACAAATTATAATATAATATTAAAAGGTATAATTTGAGCGTAGAACAAAGTTGTTTTCTTCTCAAACAATGACGGATCTCAACCAATCCTGGTAAGTGCTGACTCTGACGTACATGTCAGGAGCACCGAGTGCGCAATTGAAACCCCAGGATACGATACCGATTTGATGACCGTCAGAGGCACGACGAAGAGCACTGCCAGAGTCACCCTACGGGTACATATAAATAAATAAAATTATTGACGTTTATTTTGCAAACAGGCTACAGAAACTTATATTCAGAGTTAAGCCATTCCCTTATAAAAAAACATCCAACTATCTATCCAAACAGAATCAGTCTTTATTTACTTAAAAAAAATCTAGGTAGTACTTACATTGCATGTGCCCAATGTAGGGGAGTGGAAGGCGCAGATTTCGAACCGAGTATCAATGGGTGGAGCATTACTCGAACCCAGGAGGATGCCAGCACGAGCAACGTGAATCATGCAGTCAGCACCGTCAAGAGTTCTGGTTCTCAGTTCCAGCAATTGACGAGAAATAGCACCATCAGCCTGGAATTTGAAGGAAATGTTATAGTTACACAGCGAACTCAAGGTCAAAGTTATTAAACTAAGTCAAGGTCAAAGGATATTACTTTAGAAGTGCCAAAATAAAATACTCTGCCTGTTCGTCAATTGATCAACAGAAGTTAACTTGAGCAATCCTATTGGGGTTACGGTAATATTATTGTTTAGTAGTTGTATAATAATAGTATTATAGTAGTATCTTACCCTGACTCTGCCCCAACCAGCAACTATAGATGGAACTCCTCCAACAATGAAGTCATAAGTGAGAGGTACTGGTTGCACCAGGTTGCTAAGAGCTACGTTGATGGCGGTGATGAGAACACCGATGTCTTCCTTAATTGTTGGCCTGTACCAGTTCGGATGGGTGACATTGCGAGCCACAACGTAGTCGGTTCCGCCGTTCCAGAGGTTGGAGCCGATGTTCAGACGGAATGTGCTGGAGATAGAATTGAAAGGTAAAAGTATTCAGATAATTTAAATGATTAAGCTACTTTGTTGACACTATAACGTTACCTTACAAGGGCGCCGTCTCTAAAAACAGCATCAATGCAGTGAGCAGCAGTTAGGACAGTGCGTTGGCTGATGAGCGATGCTCCACAGTGGAAACTCCTCACAACAGCTCCAGATGTCATTGCCACCATGTGAGGATGGCCGCCGATTGCCGCCGGAGAACCACCGACGATACGAGCGTTGACGTCGGTTTGGTCGAAGAAGATAGAAATGTCATCATCTACTTCGAAGAAAGCATCCTCGGGCGTTGGAAGGGCTATCGAAAAGCATATATTTATTCAATTTAAATTAATGATCATTAATAAGATATAGAGAAAATTTAAAGTAGTACAACTCACCCAAGCTTCCAATCAGAAGGGTAATGAACACCAAAAGGCCCGCTTTGTAGTCCATGTTTCGCAAAGCCCAATACGCGTTTGAGATATTGGCCAAAATAAAATTATCAACTGGTAGCTATCTATAATCCTGCTTAATCAGTAAGATAATTACCAATCAGTATTGATAGTGTATCATTACAAATGTATGTATCGTAGATAAAATGTGAACGACTATCTATAACCCTTAATCGGGCCGACCAAAAAAAAAACTTTTCATGGTTAAAGTGTAAGTTCTTGTATTATGTTAGATAGCAGCGTACACTGTACATACATATATATGTCCGGGATGATCTCAAAAATTACTGCATGAATCTACTTCAAATTTTGTATGATTATTACTGACAGATCGGGTCAACATATAAGCTAGGTGATATAACTTAATAGTTACAAAATTGTCAATAACTTAATATTAGGTATCTATTAAGTTTTTAATGAATAATTTTGTATAGAACTTATGGTGCCGACTGCTAATCTATCAATAGGAGGGTAACCTATCAGAACTAATAATAGTTTTTGTTTGTTTTCAATTTTTTGAAGTCGGTTTTTTAAACGCAGTTTTTATTTTATAATTTTTAGTATAAGTCTACACAGACCCGTTTATCAATACAAGTTAATCAAGCAACATAAGATAGTTATAAAAACTGTTGAGGAGTTCCCTCGACTGTTTCGGCCGACCCTCGGCTCCATCATTAGGTCGACTCCAGAACCTTATCAAATTTTAATGTTCAAATTTTTTTATTGAGTAACATAATAGTCGTATTAGGTACACGCCCCTTTAATTTTCGAAAGTTTCCCTTGGTTTTCCTAGGATTCCATCACCAAATCCTAACTTGATGAAAATCAAACAAAACAAAACGGTTCATAAAAGGCGGAGTAATTGGTGAACAAACAAAAAAAAGTTATCTGAATATAGTGCCTCCTCCTTTTTTTGAAATGGGTAAAAATTCGGTACAACGTAAGTTTCACACCTAGGAAACGAAGTGTGACAGTCTTTATTCCGAAAATCACACGGCAACGGGGATATGCGTTAAAATTCCGGCACTCTGTATCTTTTAAATCACTGAATCCATTTGATTGAAATCCATTTGATAGAATAGTTTTAATCATTGAAACCTCACGAGGCGAGCTCTGTACGGGTTGAAACCTGATTGTTGGGATTGTGTATTTTTTGAAATGATGAAAATAAATTCATTTCACAATAAGTATAACCTAAGTACTGAATGAAGTCTGACGACATTTTTTGTTACCGTGGAATGTCCCTTGGTAAAGTCTAATTCACTTACTTTACATGGATGACCTCAAGTTGTTTGCACCAAACAAGAAGCAACTGATGGAACTACTGAATATAACTGAAAAATTTAGTAGGTCCATCAGAATGGAGTTTGGAGTAGACAAGTGTGTGGTCATGCATGTAAAGCGAGGAGGGATTGTGGAATCTGAGGGTCTAGAACTCTCAGATTTCACAAAGCTGAGATCACTCTCCGCAAACGATACATACAAGTACCTGGGTGTGTCAGAAGGATTAGGCATTAATGGACCGGACATGAAGCAATCGTTACAGGAGCGCTTCTTTGAAAAGTTCTTTATTAGGCGGAAACAAAGTGCGAGCCTTTAACGGTTGGGTCATGCCAGTCCTAATGTATTCTTTTGGTATACTCAAGTGGACTCAGACTGAACTTGATACCCTGGATAGGCGAGTCCGAACACTGCTGACTGCAAATCGCCTGCATTACCCTCATTCGTCGGTCATGAGGTTGTACATCTCGCTGAAGTGTGGTGTTTGAGGCTTATTAAATGCTAAGACCCTTCACAACCGTGAGGTGTGCAACCTCAGGTACTATTTCCTGAAAGTCAACGAGGATATGCATCAAGAAGTAGCAGCGGTGGACAATGGATTCATTCCACTATCCTTGGCAAAAGAGAATTGGCGCAAACCTGTGGTACTGAGCGTCAATGATCGTAAGGAGGTATGGCATAGCAAGGAGCTCCACGGACGCTTCTGCCGGGCCCTTCATGGGCCCAGTGTAGATTTTCTAGCGTCCGTATCTTGGCTACGATTCTCAGTAATCTCTTTGGGGAAACTGAAAGATTTGTCTGTGCAATAATGCACGAAGTTATCCTTACGAATAACTACCGGAAATATATAATTAACGATGGGACGGTTGACATACTTATGTCGGACATGTCATAGTCCTGGTGAATCATGAATCGTGATGAAACGTGTACACCTTAAAATACACCAAAATTAAATGATGAAAATCAAAGGAAAAGGAAAGAAAACAAAGAAAAATGTCCAACTTATCATCGTGAGGACATTGTCGTCGTCGTAGTCGTTATAATCGTGAGGAAGGGTGCCCAAAAGACTGGCAGTATTGCCACGTTAGATGGCAATGCTTAACCTTTGACCAAGGTTTTTAGCCAGCCTTTCGATCATCTGTAGTGTCAACCACCTTCTTTATAATATCTTTGTAAAGACAATGTGCAGTTAGACACCACGGCATATTTTATTATTAATATAAGGTAATTATCATACATTAATCATAACTAAAATATAACAAAAAAAATATTTAAATTAGGAAACTTAGCTTTGCTGGTTGTTCTAATTATTTTAAAATGATCGTTTGTGTAGGGCTGGGCAGAATATTCCTATTTATATCTAGTAAAACTGGTTTAGAAAGTTATCTTTCTGAAATAACACCGATTATTCAACAATTTTCACTTAAATTTATTAATTGGCATAAATAGACAATAAATACTTAATATTTAAGACAATAACAAATTATAATATAATATTAAAAGGTATAATTTGAGCGTAGAACAAAGTTTTCTTCTCAAACAATGACGGATCTCAACCAATCCTGGTAAGTGCTGACTCTGACGTACATGTCAGGAGCACCGAGTGCGCAAATGAAGGCCCAGGATGTGATACCGATTTGATGACCGTCAGAGGCACGACGGAGAGCACTGCCAGAGTCACCCTGCGGGTACGTATAAATAAATAAAATTATTGACGTTTATTTTGCAAACAGGCTACAGAAACTTATATTCAGAGTTAAGCCATTCCCTCATAAAAAAACATCCAACTATCTATCCAAACAGAATCAGTCTTTATTTACTTAATTAAAGAAAAATTCTAGGTAGTACTTACATTGCATACGCCCAATCCAGGGGAGTGGTAGGCGCAGATTTCGAACCGAGTATCAATGGGTGGAGCAGTACTCGAACCCAGGAGGATGCCAGCACGAGCAACGTGAATCATGCAGTCAGCACCATCAAGAGTGGTGGGTTTCAGTTCCAGCAATTGACGAGAAATAGCACCACCAGCCTGGAATTTGAAGGAAATGTTATAGTTACACATCGAACGCAAGGTTATAAAACTAAGTCAAGGTCAAAGGATATTACCTTAGAAGTGCCAAAATAAAATGCTCTGCCTGTTAATCAATTGATCAACAGAAGTTAACTTGAGCAATCCTATTGGGGTTACGGTAATATTATTGTTTAGTAGTTGTATAATAGTATTATAGTAGTATCTCACCCTGACTCTGCCCCAACCAGCAACTATAGATGGAACTCCTCCACCAATGAAGTCATAAGTGAGAGGTACTGGTTGCACCAGGTTGCTAAGAGCTACGTTGATGGCGGTGATGAGAACACCGATGTCTTCCTTAATTGTTGGCCTGTACCAGTTCGGATGGGTGACATTGCGAGCCACAACGTAGTCGGTTCCGCCGTTCCAGAGGTTGGAGCCGATGTTCACACGGAATGTGCTGTAGATAGCATTGAAAGGTATAAGTATTCAGATAATTTAAATGATTAAGATACTTTATAGAATTGTTGAAACGATAACGTTACCTAAGAAGGGCGCCTTCTCTAAAAACAGCATCAATGCAGTGAGCAGCAGTTAGGACAGTGCGTTGGCTGATTAGCGATGCTCCGCAGTGGAAACTCCTCACAACAGCTCCAGATGTCATTGCCACCATGTGAGGGTGGCCGCCGATTGCCGCCGGAGAGCCACCGACGATACGAGCGTTGACGTCGATTTGGTCGAAGAAGATAGAAACGTCATCTGCTACTTCGAAAAAAGCATCCTCGGGCGTTGGAAGGGCTATCGAAAAGCATATATTTACTCAATTTAAATAATTGATCATAAATAAGATATAGAGAAAATACATATAAAGTAGTACAACTCACCCAAGCTTCCAATCAGAAGGGTAATGAACACCAAAAGGCCCGCTTTGTAGTCCATGTTTCGCGACGCCCAATACGTGTTTGAGGTATTGGCCAAAATAAAATTACCAACTATAATCCGGCTTAATCAGTAAGATAATTACCAATCGGTATTGATAGTGTATCATTACAAATGTCCCAATCGGGCCGAACAAAAAAAAAACTTTTCATGGATAAAGTGTAAGTTCTTGTATAGCAGTATACATAAAAAACAATATAAATTACTGAAACTGAAAAGAAAAGGATTTTTTTGTGTGGGAAATTATTTCCCTTTGCCCGATTACGTCAATACATTTAATAGACTAGAACATGTTGGGAAAATAATTCCCTGAGCTCGATTAAGGGATAACATTTTTTTGTGATATACGCACGTACATTTACCGAACTACTGCAACTATTGTTGGTGCGGTGGCTGGGCAACCGGCTGCCACACTTCGTGTCATCGGTCGGATTCCCGCTCATTCAATCATTTGTGTGATCCACAAATTGTTGTTCCGGGTCTGGGTGTTATGTAAATGTGAACTGTTTGTAAAAGCACCGACGACACAGGAGAAAATCCTAATGTAGTGCAAAGTTTAATACAATAAAACTATCTTGGATCTTGTAAAAATTAATAGTAGATATGTCATTGAAAAGAGAACCTCCAATTTATGTTATAAGCAAAAAGATTACCGTCCACTTCCGTCCGTTATTTAATATTAATCCCATTGAAATTATCAACGTTAATCTGGCTGCTTAGAAATGACAAGCATATAGCTTGTTTGCTATTAATACAATAATCACATTGCCATAACCTGAATCTAGTTTAAATACTTATAAATGTAAGGACATTTGTTTAAAGGACTTTATTAAAATAAAAGGCTAAATTAAGGTCAACCTTAGCACTTAATGTTCAATTATTTTCATAGACATTTTAGCCTATTTTACACCAAGGATATAAAGAAAACTAGATAAGATACTGACGTCACTTAATAATAACAATCCTCATATCTGTCTGAAATCTAAATGTGTCTGTAGATTGCAATACAGCAAATATTTTTATTTACTACTGACTTAAAAATTTAGGTGAGTTTTTAATGTTGCAATATTCAGTGCTCACAGAAGAAATATCAAGCAAAAAGATACAATTTTGAACTGACATCGTATGCGGGAATGGACTGCTTGCGATATCCAGTAACAGAGTATATCTGTGGTTCCATCCGTTTAAAATATCAACCCCTTTGTATGAGTACAATTTATCTTATTACAAAGAACAAAAGACTGCGATGTTTTGTTATTCGATTGTGAACGTTGTAGAGACGTGTTTACGTTTCTTTTTCATTACAAAGGCATGTTTTGATTGTTGCTGAAATCAAAGGATGCTCACAAACAGGGTTGGGAGTTGGATATTTTGTTTGAACAGTAGTTTTGTTGAGTATTTCTACGCATGTTTTGAAATGAACTTATTTATTACGGAACTTAAATAGGCTGCCTCGTTAGCCGAGTCGTCGCAAGTGCGACTGCTGGGCAAGAGGTCTCGGATTCGATTCCCGGGTCGGGCAAAAGTATTACTGGGTTTTTCTCAGTAGTAGCACGGAGTCTGGAATTGTGCACAGAAATGTATCTGATCTGACTGCCTCGTTGGCCAAGTGGTCGCATGTGGGAGTGACAGGCAAAGGGGCTTGGGTTCGATCCCCGGGTCTGGCAAAGTATTATCGGTTTTTTTGTTGTATTGGCACCGAGTCTGGAATTGTGATCAGTATATGGCAAAAGGCTCACCCCTTATTACATGAGACTCATAACATAAATAGTGAAAAATGGGTGTTACAATTCTCCAGTGGCATTAAGTAATGTACACCTCTGCCTACCCCTTCGGACATGATGTTATGTTATGTTAAACAGACGTAATTTTGTTTGTATCTCACATGTTATTAATTATAACTTAACTGAACGTACTTGCAGTCGTTTCTGGTCTTATAGATGTCCACGGCCAATACTGATGGTATACTATCAGGCAATCCATCTGCTCATTTGCCTTCTTTGTTAATTTATAATGAGGAACATCATTTTCTTAAAAGTATGGAGGTCGTATTGGCTGACAAATATACCACAGTATTAAGTGCATAAAAATAACAAGTAGTAAGTAGTTACCTCTCTTGATTTGTTTGGCAAGATGCTAGAATGCAGAACGTAAGCTCAGCACTCATTGTGCCAACAGTCGTTGCTGTCTATTCAATATGTCCTTATTGCCAAAAGGCCAACTGAAGAGACTCCTCACAGACAAAGAGTATTGCCCTTAATCCTTCCAAATCATCCTGCTACTTGCTAACTTTATCTACTACAAGGAAAGATATTTCTCTTTCATAAATCTTGTTTTCATAAAGTTATAGAACTAAAAACGAAATTTAAAATGTTATGTATAGGTACTAAAAAATAAACAAAATTTTATTTCATAGACAGACGATAAATATGTTAAATATTACACACTAGCTATTTCCGCGCGGTTTCACACGCTCTGCTCAGCTCCTATTGGTCGTAGCGTGATGTTTTATAGCCTATAGCCATTCTCGATAATTGCGCTATCCAACACAAAAATAATTATTCAAATCAGACTTGTAGATTAGCGCGTTCAAACAAACAAACAAAAAAAAAACAAACTCTTCCGCTTTATATAATAATTATTATAAGATAAGATATAAGATTTCAGTTGCTTTCGATTCACGTCATTATGACTAGAAATGCCAATCGTGGATTTTTTTCATCGATTTAGAAATATCAAAATCATAAAGCCAATAAATAAAAATTGTAAGCACCACTCAGGATATATGAGTAGGTATATGATATGATTTAACTAATATCCTAACTAATATAATACAAAATAAATTGTTTAATAAGTTGGTACTAACTTTATTAATAATCTATACATATAATAAAATCGTAGAATATAAAAAAAAAAATACTTGGGTAGTAATCTACAATCGATACCGAAGCCAAAAATTCTAATTCACAATAAATCCATGCAATACTTTTTGTTTCATTTTCATATTTTCATAATTTCAAACATGCATGGATTTACTTCAAATTTTGCATGAATATTATATACAAGTCGGGTCAACATATAGGCTACATATTATTATTTTATTCTTTTATTTACAAAATTTTATCATGGCACATAAGGCGAACTTAATGCCATATGGCATTCTCTACCAGTCAACCTTAAGATTTAAATATAAAATCGGCAAAAAATAAGGTACGGAGAATAAACAGCAAAGAGAGAGAGAGAGAGAGAGAGAAAAAAGGTTACCTTTATATTATCACGCTATCATCTACGGAGGAAAATCAATTCTGACGATATACGTTACCTACCGTAGAATATTCCCATGATAAAGACTAATTCAAAAGCCTAAACTTTGTCAGAAAACATTCTACGCGGAAGAAGCCGCGAGCAACAGCTAGTATTATATTCATAATTATAAATAGTATCTTTCATAATGATGTTTTTCTTAACATTAATATGCTATGCTAGGAATACTAGCTAAGTGCTCAAAGTGAAGGTAGTAATTATATTTGTGGCGTCTAGGCTCCATCGAGGCTCTGCGTAGAGCTCTGGACCATTATTACCTGAAATATTATCCACTCCCCTTGAGAGCTTTTAAACTTTACCTATTTTTCTAACTATTGAGTTAAAGTAATCGTGTTGTCTATTTTTATAAAAGTCTGTCATAGGTTTTATATTTATAGGTTTTTTTAAGGAATAAGTCGATGAACGATTAGACGTATCACTTCATGGTAAGCAATTTTATTAGCGTCGCCTATAGACACCCGGAACACCATAGGCGTAGCGTTGCCGGCTTTTTGGGGGTTACGAATTTGAGGATTGTTGGGGGATTCGGGGATTTGGAGGATTGGACATAAC